CGACACCTCACCAAAAGAGAGGACTCTCAAGTTGGACTCACTTCCTCGCGGTAAGAAGAGATTGAGAGAGTAGATAAGGTAAGGGAACACCGTACCTGGAGATAGCTGCCCCCAACCACAAATTTCTCACCAATTGAGCTGAGTGTGCATTTGATGACCGGTCGTAGCCTCGGTACCACTCACAACGCAATGCAGTGCCACCTCAGCTTAATGCCACATCAGCATGCTCTCATCACCAATCATACATTCCGTAGTAACCACGGCAACCTATGCCGTAAAGCCTTCCAGCGCACACCTCTCTACCCAGGTCGTGCGCCTATTGTTGGCCTGACGTCACAAGAACCAACTGCGAAGAAGCATCATCAACGCACCAAGTCTGTATAACGACAGCGCATCAAGGTAAGCGGCGAATCGAACCAGCTCCGATACCAAAATGCAAGGAACATGAATATGGACGAAGCACAAAAATCCAGATGGCAAAATCACACTGAAGTCCAAGTAGTCAAAGCAAGAGCAGATAGCACAATGGAACCGAGTAACCATCCATTTGAGAACGATACAGAAGAATCGTRAGTCAATGTCCAAGCCCAATCGGGCAACACCAAMAGCATAACCCAATGTAGCTCTCTCTCTTGAATGGCGCCAGGYGCCCTACCTACTCTACAACCTATCTCTACAACTACAGCATGAAAGCAACCAGACAACTTGACGACCAGCGAGTGATGATGTCAACTCCAATTCCCGACCTCCTCTCCACCAGGTACGTCTCTCTCTTCACCCTCACTCTCCCTTGTTATCCCACACAACGCCCTTCACCTCCGAAGAACCACCTTCGACCTTCACCTCTTCTGCGCCCTCAGGCAGCCCGGCTATGGCCACCAGCGCCCTGCGCCCAGGCAGCGCTCTACCGCTTAGCGCAGCCTGCCTCTACCTCAGCCTAGCGCTGCACAGCACCTCGCATTCGCGCAGCGTGCCGGCATTGCCCGCAATGGCCAAGATCCCTGCCCACTCGCCCTCTCTGCCTATATGCCAGTGTTGCGTGTGGGCGACCTCCCTTGAGCCTGCGTCTGGGCCTCCGTACCTGTACCCAGGTCCAATGTGGTTGGGGCCCACGCAGTTCAGTTGTGCCTCTTTCATCCAGGCCTGCGTCCAGATTCAGGTAGTGGACCGGTTTCCCGTTTATGTGCCCAGGGCCTAACCAACTCACAAAGGCCCTGGTCCTTCTGCATTTGCAGAGATTCGGAACTCGGTGCACTCCAACCAACTGGCGTGCTGCAACTGTATGGACCCCACTTCGTGAAATGTTTGCACAGAGGGCTCTTGTTGATTTGCTGGCCCGCCTTCACTTAGGGCGGGCACGAGGCTTGTTGGGGCCTTAGCCCAGAACATGTACATCATGGCAAGGCCCCTTCTTGATAGGGGTATTAGTTGTTTCTTCGGCCCTGACATCTCTGGTCTGAAGTTACTGGACCTTCCGCTCTTTCTGGATTTTTCTTGTTTCTATCCGGTTCCTGGTCCAATTCTCTCGTTTCTGTCTGGTTTCTAGTTTAAATCCTCTCGTTTCTGTCCGGTCCGCCCCTTCTATTTTCTAAGAAGCCTCTGGGACTTTCTATTCCTCACTCTCGCTGTGAAATCGCTCTGAAGTCTGGTCTCCCGAGCTTCTGTTCTATCCTGATCTGAAGTGGAGCATGAGGGAGGTGGGAATGTCATGATAGGCAAGTATCTCTTGTGAGATGAATAGAGTAGCCTTTTAGTGTAGTATTCTTGGGATTTGTGTTACCTTTGTTTTTTTTCCTCTCTCGGATGCGAATGATGGTAGTAGTATCGATGGGGGTCTTTTGGACAAAGTGTGTTTCTGGACCTACTTAAGCAGGAAGTCGGATAGTGTAAGTCCTCCATTTCGCGACTTCCTTTGACCCCTGATGAGAGCCGGCTGGCGACCGACCGAAACGACGCGACGTAGGGTCGCGCCTGGCTGACTAAGGTTTATTTCGCAGGATACTGACGACGGTCGGTGTCTCTGCTCCATCACACGATGCAGTCATTTGATGGGTTGTTCTTTATACTCGTATGTTACGAAGGCCCATCGGGGTCGCGTTCGGGAGATTTGACGAGTACTATCCTTCCTGACTTTCTCTTTCGTCTTTTCATCTTCGTCGATCTCGGCTTTTACTTATTGCTTTTCTCCTTCATCTTTTATCCTCATCCTTGTCGCCTTTGTATGCGTGTGCTGGTCTCGGCTATATCTGGGGTATGAGTTGAGTTGCTCAACTTCGACTGATCAACCCTTCTTGAGGGCTCAATCCTCACAGAAACAAGAAAAAAAATAAAAAAGAGAAATCACTTCAAATCAGACTTCCATCTTTTTTTTATCAAATGAGTTGTAATTTATTTTTTTCAACTGAAATCATTAGACCTTGAGGTAGCAAAGAGTTTCTGGGACGATCCTAGACATGTCTCCATATTTGTTTTCTAGGAGCCGTCATTAGGATGCTGTGGAACGATGAAAACCAGTTCTTACTACTTCTTAGTTAAAAAAAAAAAAAAAAAAAAA